CTCCGTCCTCCTTTCAGGCTCCTGTGTGGTGCGTGATGCCTCTGGGGACCTGAATGACACAGTGACTGCCAGCTTGGGCACCTGTGAGGGACTGGCCTGTGGCTATGGCTGGAACTTTACCAATTGCTCCCAGCAGCACAGCTGCCGCTATGGCCTCATTAACTACTACCAGGTACTGGGCCTGTAGCTAGACCTGCCCCGTGCTGGGACAGACTGGGGTGGACATGGCTGGGGAGCTGAGCTCTGGACTCAGGGAGAGGTTCTGCACTCAGGTGGGGCTCCTGCTCCCAGTCTCTCCATGTAAGTGGGCCTGGGGTCCCCAGGTGGGGCTGTGGACTCCCATGGCGGTGTCAAGACCCAACACCTGCCCTTAGCAGGGATTGGGGCGCCAGCTCAGTCACCACTGTCTCCACAGAGCATGAGCATGGTGTCAGCCTTCGCACCCCTGATCACGGCTGGCATCTTTGGGGCCACTCTCTCCTCTGCCCTGGCCTGCCTCGTCTCTGCTGCTAAAGTCTTCCAGGTAAGGCACAGAAAGGATCCCCCTTCCTGTGGGGTGACCTGAGGAGCTCCTGTTTCCCACCCCAAACTCTCCCGTGGCACCCTGCACCCTGTCTGCAATCTCAGCATCTGGGGCCCACCAGATGCAATGTCCCCTCTCACTCCACCCTTGTCCTGGTTCCAGAGCCAGACACTGGGGCTCAGGCTGAGCAAGGGCCCTGCTGAGATCATGGAGGGGCAGGCAGGGGCTGGAGCCAGTGGCCCTGGGGAGGAGAGGCAGTAGGTCCAGTCAGGGGGTGAACATGGCATCCGGTACCTGCAGTGCCTGTGTGAGGACCAGCTGTACCCCCTGATCGGCTTCTTTGGCAAAGGCTACGGCAAGAACAAGGAGCCTGTGCGTGGCTACCTGCTGGCCTACGTCATCGCTGTGGCCTTCATCATTATCGGTAAGAGGCCACCAGGCTCACTGGGTGCCCAGTGAATGACACTTGTTTTGGGAGCTGGTATTGGAACTCTTGCTCTGCCACTAAGCTACACCCCCACACCCCAGGGAAGAACTCTTGAGCGGACAAAGCATGCTTGTCACCTTGGGCTCTGTGGTTGGGGAGGCCTGAGGACAAAGAATGTTAATCAATTAGGTAGCCTGGCTTTACCATGCCCCTTGGGTAAGTTACTTCACTTCTCTGAGCCTCACTTTCTCATTTGGAGAATAGGAGCAATAGTGCATAGCTGCTGTGCCTCTAGGTGGACAGGAGCAGGCCATATGTGTAGGCACACAGACGTTCACACTGCTACACACACCCAACACATCCTAGCTGAGGAAACAGAGGATTTCTTTCTCTGGGGAGAGAAGCGGCCACACCAAGCAGGGGCAGTGGCCATTCCGTGACATGGTGATCCCATCTCTACCCCTAGGCAGGAGTGGGGTGGGGTGAGCTACAAGGAACTCCCTCTCCCCACCAGCTCACAGGCATCTTAGTGGGGCACCACCGATCAGCAATCTATAAAACTTACCCCAAAGTCTGGCCACTGTTGCCCCCAGAGATACTTCTCGACACTGGGTCCTGAATCTTTTTTTTTTTTCTTAATTTATTTATGGTTTTTTGGCAATATTGGGGTTTGAACTCAGGGCCTCACATTTGACAGACAGGCGTCTACACTTGAGCCACTCTACCAGCCCTGTTTTGTGTAGGATATTTTCGAGATAGGGTCTCAGGAACTGTTAGCCTGGGCTGGCGTACAACTGCAATCCCCCTGAACTCTGTCTCCCGAGTAGCTAGGATTACAGGCCTGAGCCACCAGTGCCCGGTGAGGTTCTGGATCTTGAACCAAATATAGCTGTGGCAGGGCTGCCCAGACGATGAAAGTCTAATGGGAGCTGAGCACCAATGGCTCACCCCTGTAATCCTAGCTCTCTCACAGCCACTGTCCTTGGTCATCCCATAGCTTGATAAGGCTGGGTTCACTCCCCGTATTATAAACTGGTGGCTTACGGCTTACAAGACATCATTCCTTTTGAGCTTCCTGAAAGGGTGGACCCATTTCACAGATGCAAAGGTTGAGACTGAGTCTCAGGGGCCTGCCTGGGGTCCCCCACCTTGTGAGTTTGGGTGCCAGGCAGATACATGATAGAGTTTCTCAGAGAATGCCCTCTTTCTCCCTGGGTCCCTGAAGCTGAGCTCAACACCATTGCCCCCATCATCTCCAACTTCTTCCTGTGCTCCTACGCTCTCATCAACTTCAGCTGCTTCCATGCCTCCATCACCAATTCACCCGGTGAGCAGGCACTCCATTTGCCATGGGAAGAGGTGCCAAGGGGTCAGGACAGGAGTGGGAGTCAGGGATGGAGGTGGGCAGCCCAACGCCACCTCTCAAATTGAAACCATGTGCACTGTCACCAATCCAGGAGTCTAATTCCCCAGAGAGGGAAAGGCGAATGTCCCAAAGTCACAGACAAGATTGTCCCATGCAGTGCTGCAGGCTGTGCACTGCAACAGCTCTAGGGGGCACCATTCACACCACAGCATCACAGACTTCCTAGATTTGTGTGCTGGTGATGAAAACTTGTGGCAGATGACAGTCAAGAGACCCAAGGAAGCCTTTTTCTAACTATCCCCAAATTCATCATTGTGCCTGTTCCCAAGCCACCTATCACATAGACACCACAGTGAGCATGGCACCCCTGGAGCAGCTGTCACTAGTCATGGCCTGGCCTGCTGTGGAGCCAGACAGAATCATGTCCTCCCCTTCCATCCCGTTCATGGCTCCATGGGAACCGTGGGTGTGGCACTCTTGCTGACTTCCGTGTCCAGTGGCCCCGCTAGGCCAGAACCGGATGCTTCTGGCCTGGTGTAGCCTGTTGCCATGGTGAAATGCCAGCCAGACAGGGATGTGGTCCACCCCAGTGCCTGCAAGCCCCTCCCGGGAGGATAGATGGGTGGGGGCCTTGGAGATCCTGGGTGGTGGGCACAGCCCCGGGCACTGTGGCATGGCTGCTCGACCCTGCTGCAGCTCTGGCCCCAGAGGCAGCTCCTGAGCATGGGGCACGTGCACTGAGCCTGGCCCTACCCAGGGTGGAGACCCTCCTTCCGCTACTATAGCAAGTGGACAGCACTATTTGGAGCAGTGATCTCCGTGGTCATCATGTTCCTTCTTACCTGGTGGGCGGCTCTCATCGCCATTGGAGTTGTCCTCTTCCTTCTGCTGTACGTGATCTACAAGAAGCCAGGTGTGTGGGCTCAGGCTGCCTGAGTTCTGTCCCCCAGGGTTTAGTCCCCACCACAGGAAGCCATGCAGACAGGCCTGCTCCTGCCTCAGCTGGCCTTGTGTCACCTACCTCCTCCCTCCCCATGACACAAGATGCTGAAAGGGGCATGCCCACTGAGAGCCACACCTCCCCATTTGGCCACCCTAGGACCTAGGAATTTCCAGCTCCAAGGGCCCTGAAGTCAGCTCCTGAGACAGGCTACCTGTGGTATGGGTGCCCAGGTCTGAAGGGTGGCCAAGGGTGGCTGTGTGAAGGACAGGTGGACAAAGCCAGACACTGAGCAGGAGGGTTTATGTGCATGCAGAAGGAACCTTAGGGCATCCACAATCTGAGTGCCAGAAACCCAACTGTAAGAGAGCCTAGAATTCCACATGTGAACCTGAATGTCAGGGTCATGGTGAAGGTGTGTTTACCAAGGTGGGAGAATACTTTGTAGAGTTTAATACTTTGATTATAAACTTTAATTATGTAACTGTCCAGTCCTTGGGCTCCAGTCCTGGCCCATTAGGGACAGATTTGCCGGCTGTCCACCTGCTGGGTAGCCCTGCTCCCAAGATGCCTTGCACCTGAAGGCTGGCATTCCTTCCCTCCCTCACATGACTGTTTTCTTCTGGTAATTTTGGATCTCGCTCTCGCCCCTCCGACCCTACCCTCAAGAGGTGAACTGGGGCTCCTCGGTGCAGGCCGGCTCTTACAACCTGGCCCTGAGCTACACCGTGGGCCTCAACGAGGTGGAGGACCATATCAAGAACTACCGGTGAGCAGAGCTTCTGAGCTGGCCTGGGAGCCTGGGTCGGGCATGGCCCCGCACAGCAGGACCAAGAGGGGCTTGGTGGTGCTTGGAGAGCGAGCAGAGGGAGTAGAACACCACCCGGCCATCAGGGACCGGGGTTAGCATGGCCCAAGGGGGACTAAGCATGGAAGGGGCACCCCCTGTGCCTCAGTCACCATAGTGGAAGCTGCTCTGCTGAAAGGACAATTGGTGTTATTCTCATCACAGTAATCCTGGATGCTGACAGTGACAAGCTTCCCCAGGTCCTCTTCAAAGCTTGTTCCCCTTCATAGTGAGGAGAATCATTCACCTTCCATCTCCTTCCTCCCCGACTGTCCTCATAATCAGAGATCTGTTTATGTTACACTTACTGTGAGCCAGACACGTCACCAAGAGTCTAACATGGCTTCATGACAAACCTCTGAGGTCCATATTACTAACCCCAAGCCAGAGAGGTTATGTAACTGACCCCTGCTTGCACAGCTAGTAAATGACCCAATGAGTGTGGCTTTGCCTGTCTCTGGCCGGGTCCCTTAACCACTACCCTGTGTTGCCTCTCAACACAGAGGCTCAGTGGCCTGCCCAGATAACACAGTGAGTTTGTAAATGACAGGTCTCCTCATGGTCAGTCTTTATCCTGCCCATCACTGTCCCGCACTGGCTGGGCTGGGCAGGGCAAAGGAGGAAAGTCAAGTGGGTCAGACCAGGAAGGACAAGATAGTTCTACTGTGATGGCCATCAAAAAAACTGGAAGAGCCAGGTGCAGGTGGCTCCTGCTGATAATCCTAGCTATTTGGGAGGCTAAGATCAGGAGGATCACACTTTGAGGCCAGCCCAGGCAAATAGACCTCAAGACCCCATCTCCAAAATAACAAGAACAAAATGGGCTCAAGTGGTAAGAGCACCTGCTTTGCAAAGCCCTGAGTTCAAACAAAAAACCCTGGAAGATTATTTGGGAGGTAGAGATAAGAAGCCAGACTGGCAAAAGTTAGTGAGACCCTAGCTCAAAAACAAGCTGGGTTCTGTGACTCACGCCTGTAAATCACAACTACATGGGAGGATCTCAGTCTGAAGGCCAACCTGGGCAAAAGTGAGAGACCCTAGCTGAAAAATGGACTAAAAGCAAAAGGGCTGGAGGCATGGCTCAAGTGGTAGAGCATTTGCCTATCAATCTCGAGGCCCTGAGTTCAAATCTCAGTATGCCCCCCAACCCCCCCAAAAAACTGGAAGAGCTCTGGAGTCACAGCTGAAAAGACAAATCCCACGGGTCTTGCCTGAGGCCATACCAGGGTTCTGGTAGAAGAGCTCCTGAGGTACCTGCCTTTGGCATCTGGACCCCCGTGGGCCCTCTCCTGAAGGCTCTTGCCCTTCTCACTTCCCTCCTCAGCCCCCAGTGCTTGGTGCTCACGGGCCCCCCCAACTTCCGCCCAGCCCTGGTAGACTTCGTGGGCACCTTCACCCAGAACCTGAGCCTGATGATCTGTGGCCATGTGCTCATCGTGAGTGTCCTCTGGAGTGGGGCACGGCCATCTGTACTCCTGGGGGAGCTTCCTGGATGCTATGCACAGCAGGGGTGGGGCGGGATGTGCGGCAAGCCCAGGTCTCTCCCCTTCCTGGTCCTCACTGCCCTGCCTCTCCCTGCTCACCTTCTCCGACCCCCTCTCCTCCCCTCCTGCTGCCCTTTCCCGTCCCCAACTGTGTAAAGGAAGCCACCGGGCACTTGCTGGGCCTGAGGACAGCCCCTGATGTCATCTGTCCCCTCACTCACAGGGACCCCACAAGCAGAGGATGCCGGAGCTCCGGCTCATTGCCAATGGGCACACCAAGTGGTTGAACAAGAGGAAGATCAAGGCGTTCTACTCGGACGTCATTGCTGAGGACCTCCGCAGCGGGGTCCAGATCCTCATGCAGGTGTGCTGGGCTGTTCTCCCTGCAGGACTCGTCACTCGGTGTGACAGCTCAAAAGGCAGAAAATCTGGGGTCTACTTTAAACAACAGGAGTCCCTCCTTCCCTTTCTTGGGTGTCCAGGCCCCAGGCACCTGACACAGAAGGCTGCAGGTGCTGGACCTTGGCTAGGTCCTGATTTTGAATTCTTTTTTTTTTTCAATTATAATAATATACAATAAATTGAAAACCCATTAAGTGTATCAGTCGATAAATGTTTGCCTATGAAGACCCCACCCAGTGTATCACCACCACTCAGATCAAGATCTAGAACATTCTCCCGAGCTCCATATTCTCATGCCTGCAGTGAGAGGCATGGATAAAATAATAGCAGTCATTATCCCGAGTCAGCAGGTGAGGGTACTTTTCACTAGTTCTCACTCTGACTCAAAAATTTAACCATGGAGTCTCTTTTAAGTGTTAGAAAAATATTCTGGAAGTAGATAGGGCGATGGCATAGGGAATATTCTAAATGCCACCAAACTGTACAATTTGGATTTTATTGTTTTTCTTTTTATTTTGTTGTGTTTTGTTTTTTTGAGATAGGGTCTCACTATGTAACCCTGGCTGGCCTGGATTTCACCAGGTTGCCCAGACTGGCTCTGAACTCCTGGGCTCAAGCAAAGATCCTCTTGCCTCAGCCTCTTGAGTAGCTGGGACTACAGGCATGAATCATTGCATCCAGCTTGCTTTTGACCATGTTTAATTGCATTTGTTTAATCTGAATTGTACGCTTTAAGAAGGTTAATTTAGTTACGTGAATTTCATCTAAAAGTCTTTAAATCTGAAGACATTTTTTAAAAGAGAGAAAAATATAAAAGCCAATGGTTTAGATGGCCCAGGAATACTCTAAACTTGACAACTAAATTCCAGTCTTCTGTTAGGAGAAGTAAGTTGTCGAGAAGCAGGGACCAGGGCATTCCAGGACAGCCAGTTGTTGGCCAGGCTTGGAGGAGACACAGGAACAACTTCTCGTGGTGGATCCAGGTGGACAGGACCCTGAAGAGGGGAACACATTTCCTGAGCCCCTGCAGCATGGCTGGGAGGTGGCTAGGCTGAGTGAGAGCTCCACCCCGGTCACAGAACAGAGACCCTACCAGCCGCAGGCCTGGCCGCCAGCTCTGCCCCAACTGACGGTCCTGTGTGTTCCCCCTATCCCCCCTGCCGCAGGCTGCAGGGCTGGGAAGAATGAAGCCCAACATTCTGGTGGTGGGATTCAAGAAGAACTGGAGGTCTGCCCCGCCGGCCACGGTGGAGGACTACATTGACATCCTGCAGTGAGTGAGGGAGAGGCCAGTGGGCCACTGGGGTCTCCTGGGCCTGGGGAAGTGGGGTGGAAGTAGTGAGAGGTGAGTCCATTTGCTCAAGGCTGGGGAGGAATGGGGCAGCATGACTTGAGGGTCATGGATGCCAATCAAAGTCAGTAGGGGTCTGGCAGGTGACATAGAATATGAAGTGGGCCAGTGTGGGACAATGGGGAGTAGTGCTGATTGTGGCAAACAGGGGAAAGCAGCTGCTATTGGCTCCTGCCAGCTGGGCCCATGCAGAAATGCTGGCCCACTTTTGCCAGATAGTTTAATGTTTCAGAGTAGGCAAAAACGTGGGTGTTTAGGAGAAAACCTCATGCCCAGGTAACCAGCTCGAGGGCTCTGAGTGGTGCCACTGAGCAGAGAAGTGAAACTGGGCCCCAGGACTGAGCTCCCTGAGGGTTTCAGGGTTGGCTTCAAGCCCTGATGCTTCCAGATCTTTGCTGTGCACAGTCCCAAGACTGCCTGTCCAGGTTGCTTTCAACCTTCCAGTGCACAGAGAGACAATATGTGGTACCGTTAATGAACACCAGGCTGAGCATGGAGGTCTAAAACGTTAACCAGCGCCGTGACTCAGCATCGTCCCAGCTGCCTCTAGAAAAATCACAACAGGAGGTGGCAGAAAACCTGGCCTCCAGATTCCCCCAGCTGGGCGACATTCCGAGGCAGTCCGGAGATGTGCAATGAAGGAACCTAGGGAGGACAATGCTTAGCCTGACAGACTAAGCCATCACAGTGTCTCGTGGCACTGTGTCAGCAGGCAGGAAGCACATAGTGGGGCAGGAGCCTTCTAGACGCCCCTGTAGCCAGCCTATCACGAGTGAAGCCATGCCGGTGTGCACGCCTGCTCTTTGGTTTACGGTCTCAGCTGTATAATCTTCATCCCAGCTGATGATCCCTAACACTCAGTTTGTGCATTTATTAAGTGGGGCTAATCGCCACCATCCCCACCTCTGTCGCGGGGTCGTGAGGATTACCCAAATGTGCTGGTACACAGGCATGACTTGGTCCCCCCCTGGGTGACTGTCCAATTTGGACTGCATACTATACAGATAGGGAAACTAAGACCCAGAGGAGAAAGGAGTATGGTAGGAAGCAGGGCCTACTCTAGACATCTGGTCTCCTTAGAGCTAGGTCACCTCTCCGAGAGAAGCCTGACCCTGACCTCCTCTTTCCAGTGATGCCTTTGATTTCAACTATGGTGTGTGCATCATGAGAATGCGTGAGGGGCTCAACATCTCTGAGGTGATGCAGGCACACAGTGAGTACTGGCTGGACCTGCCCCATCCCCATACCTGGTTAAAAACCAGAACAGGATGGGTATGGATAGTTCAAGGCCAGACTGGACAAAGAGTTCATGAGAGCCCTGTCTCAACCAATGGCAGCATGTGATCAGACACCCCAGGGACTGGGGAGGAAAGGAGCTACTTTCATCCTAGTGCTAGGGGAGCCCCAGGAGGTGAGGAACCCAGAGGTACTGGGTGAGGAGAGCCTCAGACCCAGCTGTGCCCTCTTCTACAGTTAATCCCATGTTTAACCCAGCGGAGGATGGCAAAGAGGCCAGCAAGAGTGGGGCCAGGCCCTCTGTGTCCAGCACAGGTCAGTTCCTACCCATTTGGAGCCTCAGGGCACTCTGCCCTGCAGTGACAGGTCACCTGAGAACATGACCAAAGGCAGATGGTTTTTCTGAGAGGGGAGAGGCTGGGTAACTGGAGGAACTTGTTAAAGATTGTCAGCCCAGGGATGGGGTTGTAGCTGTGTGGTAAAGTCTTTGCCTAGTATGTATGACGCCCTGGGTTTGATCCCCAACACCTCACCCTGCCAAAAAAGTATTGCTGGCCTGTTGGGGAATCAAGAATCTTGCCAGGGTAGGTGCAGGGAAAGGCACATTGGTGTCCCCACCTTTCACCAATGCCTTGAGGGGCAAGGGAATCTTTAGCAGGCACAAGCCATCCTGTGGCATTTGTGAGAGATGGAAGTGACAAGTGGCCTGCCCACCTCCAAGGGCAGCAGGCCGTTTTCAGGCAGTGTTAGGCATTGAGCGTGCTCACCAAGCTCTGATCTGCTGCCCTCTCCTGCAGTGGATGCCGAGGCCCTGGTGCGGGAGGAGCAGGCACGCACCATCTTCCAGTCTGAGCAGGGCAAGAAGACCATTGACATCTACTGGCTCTTCGATGATGGAGGTCAGGCCCCTCACCCTCACTCGGCCCTGGCTCTTTCCTCCCTCCTTGTCTGCAGCTCTTGGCCTGCCCTTCCTGGCTACTCTGGTCAAGGCCTCTGGCAGGACCAGAGCCCAGCACAGGGGACAAGGGTCCAGGCCCACCAGTGAGCTTAAGGGAGCCCTACTGGGCCCCTCTCCCTGGCTTCCAGTTGTTTCAGCTGAAAAATGGAGAACTTTGAGGAAGGAGCTGGGCTAAACAGGAGGTAGAACTGGTTGACCTTGGGGGGTCCCAGTACATGACATAAATAAGGAAGACGGGGTGTGCACAGGAAAGGGTAGGGATGTTCTTTCTTCATAGAAACATACCTTCTGCTTTTCTTTTCTTTTTAAACATTTATTAGCATAAGTTCATTGTACAAAGGGGTTTCATTGTGCTACTTCCATACATGCATAGAATGTTCTTTGATCAATTCACCCCTCTATTACTCTTTCTTATCAATTTGATACACTGTTTAGTGGATTTCATTCTGCTAGTTTCATACATGCATATGATATACTTCAATAAAATTCACCCCCACTCTTTCTCCTCCCCCTTGCGCTGATCCCCCCACTGATTCCTCCCACGCACACACCACTGCCTATTTTCTTAAAACATGACTCAAGCTTTATCATAACACCATTTTCTTTTTGCGGTACTGGGGTTTGAACTCAGGGCCTCCACCTTGAGCCACTCCATCAGCCCTTTTTTGTGATGGGTTTTTTTCAAGATAGGGTTTTGTGAATTGTTTACCCGGGCTGGCTTCGAACCGAGATCCTCCTGATCTCTGCCTCCTGAGTAGCTAGCTAACAGGCATGAGCCACCTGCATCTGGCGTGTTTGCACCTTTGATAGAGTCCGAGAGAGAGAATGTCTCTGCTCCTATGGAGTAGGATCCACCTGCCGTATCTGCAGGTTCTGTACCCATGGCTTCAACCAATCGCAGATCGCAAGTATTCAGAGAGAAAAATTGTCTGCACAGAACTTGCACAGACTTTTCCTTGTCATTGTTCCTTAACCAATGCAGCGCAAGTGCCATTTCCATAGCATTCACATGCAGTAGGTGTTATAAGAAACGACTTAAAGCGTGGGGAGGATCGTGTCGATTCTACACAGGTACGACACCACTTTGTATAAGGCACCAGCATCTGTGGATTTTGGTATCTGAGCAGAGGTCCTCGGACCCACAGATTAATGTGTGTTAATGGTAGTTAATGTAGGCTGAGCAGTTACTGACTGTGTGTCTGGCACCAATGCTCTTCAGAGCTAACCGAATGCAGTCTCCTCCACAAATAAGGAAACTGAGGCACAGAAAATTATGCCCTGACACATGGTCCTTGGCCTTAAGCAGAGAGGTGACAGGGAGAGGTGAGAGCTCCCACTCGTTGGCCGAATGTTCAATTGTCACGCAGTCCTAGTGGTCTAGTTAGCCAATGCCAGCTTGCTTATTCAAAGCCACTGTGTTGGCCAAAGAAACCCAGCCCACTGAGCGCATGGCACCTGGGGATTACCTGGGTGAGCGCTTGTATAGATGGGAAAACTGAGGTCCAGAGAGGGGCAGGGGTTTTCCCTCGGCAGTGTGGGGCAGGACCCACATAGGGCCCTGCCCTGAGAGTGCTTTTCTCTTATCTCCTGGGACCCTCCACGTCAGGACTCACCCTCCTCATTCCCTACCTCCTCCACCGCAAGAAGAGCTGGGGCAAATGCCGGATCCGTGTGTTCGTGGGGGCCAGATCAACAGGATGGACCAGGAGAGAAAGGCGTAAGTGGGCAGGCCAGCAGGGCCACGCCCTTCCCTCCCGCCTGGCCTCCACTGCCACCTGCCACCTCCTCAGCGGACCTGGGATTGTCCCAAAGCCCAGGCTAGCTCTCTCCAGGCACAGTACTGGTGACTGGGGCTCTGGGCAGGAGCAGGGCCTTTTCTCTTTCCAGAGTATTCTGGCTTCCTGTCCTCCTTTCATAAGACGTCCCAGCCCTGGTCTCTGCTGTGACAGGGAGGGGAGGAGAGTTCTGAAATCACAAAACTCCTCAAGGGGAGACCCGTATGAAAGGCAAAGTGGACAAGCCTTCTTCCTGAGACGTGAACAGGGTTAGATTCCTTCAGGGCAGTGTCCCCGCAGTGTGCTACACACGCTGTGTGGAGACAGGAGGTGACGAGTCAAGAGATGGGATGGCAAATACTAGGGAATCTTTTGGTGAGAAGTGACTTTTAATCCCCCTCCACTTCTGTTTCTGACTTGGTGCAAGAAAGTCTTGGTTAACATTGGACTTGGCACCTGAACAAAGCTCTCTGCCTAAGAAGAGACAGAGGCCATGGCTTCTGGCAGAATTTAATGACATTGGTTTATTTACATGGGTTTGAATTGTTACCTCCTTCTGGCAAGAGATGCTGTTTTCTCTTTGAAATTATAATATAAAATTTCTTTCTGAAATGGAGCTAAGTGTATTAGTCCATTTTTCATTACTATAATGAGACACCTGAGGCATTCTACTTTATGAAGAAGAGAGGTTTTTTTGACTCTTGGTTCTGGAATGCAAGGACTAGGGGCCACATCTATGATGGCCTTTTGCTGGCAGTGCCCTAAGTTTGCAGAAGGCCAGAGACAGAAGGCACAGGTCTCCCTCCTCTTATAAAGTCACCAGAATTCAGTCCAGGGCTGGGGTGGTGGTGCTCCACACTGATGACCTTATCCAATCCTGTCACCACCAGAGGCCCTGACTCTAAACTCTGTAGGTGGATTAAGTTTCTGTCCTCTCAGTACGGAACCTAGAAAGTTAAATTTCTACCTGAGTTAAACAAGCCAAATTTAAATCATAGCATGAAGTCAGGATGTGAGTTGATTTAAACAGACATGAAAATAAATAGTAAGGCAGGTGACACGCCTGCAGAGTTTATAGGAGCTGGACAACTGCAGCTTTACAACAAGGTCGAGTGAGGTCAAAAGTCCCCACATGCCGCCTGTTCAGACAGGTGGGGTAGGAGATTGGGAGTTGCCCACAGAGAACCCTGCGTTCCTCCAGTGCCTTTTGCAGCAACCCTGACTGTGACACCCCAGGGTTAGGAGATGAGGGCACCCCTAACCCTCATCCTGTGCCAGGATGGCACCCCTGGGACAGCTCTCCCTCTAGTCTTTGTGCACTCGGGACAACCCAGCAGTCCCATCTCTGTCCTCGCCCCTCTGAGAACTTCACCACTGAGAGCTCCCCTCCTGGAAAGGCCAAGGACAGCGTTGCTTGGGACAGCAGCACCTGGCTTCTGGGCTCTCTACAGAGTAAACAGGCCAAGGGGGCCGTGTCACAGTCTCCACTTCCTGGGCAGCAGCTGGGCTCCCTGAGATTGGTTTAGCTGAGGGACGTGGCATATTGGGTAGCAGGTGTCCCTCACACAGAGGTTATGAAGACTGCTTTGCCACCCAACCGGCTCTTGATGGGCCACGTGATCTTCCTTCCCCATGACCCCACACCTGCCAGTCCCACTGCCACTGCTGTACGTGGTGATGAGGCTGCCCACAGCTCTGCTTTCAAAACTCCCATCCCCTGGGGCTGGTGGATTGGCTTAGGTGGTAGAACGTCTGCCTAGGAAGGATGAGGCCCTGAGTTCAAACCCCAATGCTGAAAAAACAAAAATCCCACCCCCAAGTTCAGGAGTCCACAGAGGCTTGATAGTGGGGCCAGGCAGCTCCTACAGGCTCCTCTGCCCCCATCTCTCCCACAGCATGCTCCAAGCCATCCCTACCCACCCTTCACAGCTGTTGTTCCACTCCTAGGCCCCCCCGCCCACGACCTCCATGTCCTTGCTCACCTGTACTCCTTCCATCAGAGAGACCAGTGGTCCTCAACCTGGCTGCACTTCAGCATCCCATGGGCCCAGGGGTTGTGACTCAGTGGTGCACTGGGGCCCAGGCAGGTGTACACTTCTGAAGGTTCGTTGGCACATTGGTGTCAATGTGGACACTCCTCTACCCTGCCTGCTTTGGCCTACATACACCATCTAACCAGATTGCCACCTCCTCTGCGAAGTCTCCCCTGACTACACAACCTGGCTTGTACACAGTTAGCTTCTGCTCCCATTAGATGCAAAGCCAGCACCATCTTAGTTCTTGAGTTATCTTTTCTTCCTCAGCCACTTCTTTTTTTCTTTTGCAATACTGAGGTTTGAACTCAGGGCCTTACACTTGCTAGGCAGGCCTCTACCACTTGAGCTACACCTCCAGCTCTTAGCTTTTAGATTATTTTTCAGATAGGCTCTCCTCCTGCTTTCTGCCCAAGACTGGCCTTGGAACACAATTCTCCTACCCATGCCTCCCTCATAGCTGGAATGGCAGGTGTGGGCCACCATGCCCAGCTTGCTGGTTGACAGGGATCTCACTAACTTTGTGCCCAGGCTAGCCTTTAATTTCAGTCTTCCTGATCACCTTTGAGTAGCTGGGATTACAGGCATGAGCCACCATACCTGGCTCCTCAGCCACTCTTTATTTTCTCTTTTTAACTCCCCGTCCCTTTGACCTTTGCTATTCCAGGTGTTGTCCATGGACCAGCAACAGCACATCCACCTATCGACATCTAACCCAGTTTTTGGATATCCCCTACTGTCTGTCCCGCCCCTGTGTTAGAATATCAATTCCATGCAGACAGGGTGGGAACAGTTCTGCTCACTGCTATAAAGTCAGCAGGCGTTTAGTAAAAGTTGGGTGGAGGAATGTATTTTTACAAAGCTCCCATCTGTCCTCCAGAATTGTTTCTCTGTTGAGCAAGTTCCGATTGGGATTCCATGAAGTTCACATTCTTCCCGACATCAATCAGAAGCCTCAGGCTGAACGGTGAGTTCTCTGTGTCGGGGGGGTCCAGGCAGAAGGTCCAGCCATGTGTCCTGAAGATTCCTCTGCCTGCCGTCCCCTTGCTCCAGCCCCACTGGTTCCTTTGCTGCTCCCCACACCGGACACGATGCACCTCAGGGCCTTTGCACATTCAGTGCCCAGTTTATACCTTCACAAAACTTCTACTTCAGATCATTGACCCATTTGCTCATCGCCCAGCAGCCCAGGGGACTGGGAGGAAGGGTAACATCAGCCTGGTACAGGACAGCATTCAGTGACCACCTGCTGAGTGGAGGGGTAGGTGGAGGGTAGAGTCCAGGACAGTCACTGTAGATGGCAGATCTGAGTGTGAGGGCTGAATTCCACACAGAAGCTTTTGGGAGGTAAATGCCAGTGCCACATGGGTCTCAGGCTGACAAGTCCGTCCTGGTGGCACCACCTCCTGCTCCCTCCCAGGCCTGGTTCCTGAAGATGGGGCATCTCACCCGGCCTCACCTACTGTCTCTTCCCCAGCACCAAGAGGTTTGAGGACATGATTGCGCCCTTCCGCCTGAATGATGGCTTTAAGGATGGGGCCACGGTCGCCGAGATGAGGCGGGATTGCCCCTGGAAGATCTCGGATGAGGAAATTAACAAGAACAGAGTCAAGGTGAGAGGGAGGAAAGGGCCTCACTGGGGGCGGGGGCGGCATCCATGCAAGCCACCCACTCACAGCCATGGCAGAGCTTTCTTATTCTCGCCCCTCTCCCCTACCTCCCTGCTCTCCTCTCCCAGCCTCTGAGGTCCCCTCCGGCTGTGGGGCTCAGTGCTATCCCAGCCTGGGAACCTGGTCCCCCTGCCTGGTTAAGTGGCCAGCAAGGTGTGCAGCTGCCTGGAGGCCTTCTCTCTCTCTTCCCCATTTCTCTGTGCCTGGGGGGAAGAGATTCATGGCACAGGGGTGAGAATCCAGGTGCAGTTTGTCCTGGGTCCCAGAGCTGCCTGGCTTTCTCCCTCCATTTATAAACTGTACCCTAGAGGCCTTCACCCTCACCCCTTCCTAGACAGCACATTAGGACTCTGACAAGGGCTAAAAGAGGTGTGTGCAGGGAGGCGGGGCACTTCTTCAAATGACTGCTGTGGCCTTTTTAAGGTGCAGTGAGCAGCAAGGAGGGCCAGGCTGGATATCAGTTCTGCCCCTGTGTGGTCCATGTCAGTGGTCCTCACTAGAAGCAGTTTGTTACCTCCCTCCACCCCCAAGACATTTTTCAGCCTCTAGGGCATCACAACTGAGGGACGTGGGTTGCCACTGTCATGTAGCCCGTAGAGACCAGGAACACCGTTGAACATCCCACATCCACCCAAAATGTCAACAGGGAGAGTTAACTCACTTCCCCATTCTCTAAAGTGGGTGTCCATCCACTCTGAGATCCTCAGTTCCAGCCATTTCTGAACAGTTTGAGACGGCCTTGGGCTCAGGAATCTCAACTCAACTTGCTCCACTCAGGCTTTGGAGAATTCTGTGTCCCGTCATCAGGAGACTTTGTCCCCAAGTGCACACGTAGCCAGCTGGCTCTTTGGAAAATGCTGAATAAGTGTAATGTCCAAAGGAAGTTTGACCAGAGTCTGTCACAGAGGGGGTGGAGCTCCAAGTCCCCCTGCTCTTTCTGGTTACCAGGTCTTCTGCCTGGTGCTCCGGCATAGATTCGCTCATGTGATTCCCCTGAGGGAGGAGTCACCAGACCCACTTTCCGGAGAGAGACAGTGAGGCTTGGGGAGGCACAGGGATTTGCTCAGGCTATCTCTGCTGTGAAGGTCAGAGCTGAGATGTGAACCCAGTAAAGTGCCTCATCTTCCTACCATCACAGTTAGAAGGTCAGGCAATGAATGACCAAGGAAAGCTTCCTGAAGGAGGTGGACTTGGTGTTCAGTTGTCATGAGGGCCCCTGTCTTTCCCTGGGCAGGAGAGTCCATACGCAGGTAGGAGGAATAGCTCATGCCCAGGTGGGCTTGACGGGGGTCAGCTGCAGTCAAGGGCTTGGCTAGTGACCACCCAACTTTTCCTGGTTCCAGTCCCTTCGGCAGGTGAGGCTGAATGAGATCCTGCTGGATTACTCCAGAGATGCAGCGCTGGTGGTGATGTAAGTAAGCCTGGCTGGCTGGAGGGGCAGCCTGCCAGGACAAGCCTGGCAGCTCTGAAGAGGGCTCTGGAAGTAGCCCAGCTGAAGCATAAGGGTGCACAGCTCCTGTAGACCTAGTCTGGGCAGACTCAGCACACAGCCAGGCCCGCACCTGCTCCCAACCTGCGCAGCAGCTGGCAGAGGTCTAGGGTCTCACGTGGCCCGGGCATTGCTGGCTGCCCTCCCTGCTGTCTTTGCTTATTTGCTGCATTTTCCTGCCAAACAGGCTTGGCAAAGTGGGTGCCTGGCTCATTCTAGAAGCAAAACCATTCCCGTTGTTTGGGAATTGCCCAATCCTCTTTGGCCACTCGCCATCCCCAGTTGATGTGGTGCCAAATCTAGACAATGAAGACAGGATTGCCCCAGTCCCACTCCTCCGACTAGATTCCAAGCTGCCCCTGGTGGCTGTTGGCCAGGGCAGAGCAAGTGGAAGGTGACAGTGGCTCTGTGAGGCCAGCAGGAAGGACATGGTCAGCCAGAGGTAAGGGGCCTTTACCAAGGCAAATAACTGCCTTTCTCACATTTCCTGGGAACCGGCTGCCTGGGAAGTCTGAGGACAGCCAGAAGCCTGCCGGGTCATTCTCTCACAGAGCCGGGACCAACTGCATAGCTTCCCAAGCCTTCTATCACCTTCTACCACTCAACAATTACTAAGAATGCCAGGCTGTGGACTTCCTTCCCAAGGCAGTCTCCTCACATTCCCACATGTCACCCATGTCACTTAAGACATTGAAAAAAGTGTCAAGATGGTGACAGCAGAACACTAAACTGGGTGGACCCTTCTGAGCACAGGGCCCCAGTGATGGCATTGCCCAGAACAAGCATCCCGGGGCATTCAGGGAGGAAATTTTTTTGTACAAAGGAAAGTGCTAAAGAAAGAGTTCTTAATTGCCAAGTGTTTAGCCAACAACCAGCAGAGAACGTTCCTAGGGCAAGAGTGTCCCAGGGTGTGGGTGGGATCAGAGTGCAAAGCAGTAGAAATGGCTTCGTGCTGGGTGGGCTCCCAGACTTCTCTGTGGGTGTGGAGCCTGGGGTGCATGCCCTCCTCCCCATGCATGCATGTGGTAAATCATCACCTCCTAAGTGCTACCTCTGCTCAAAGAAGCAGCTTTGCATTTTGATCTGGCATTAGCTCACTGTGTGGCCTTGGTAAAGTAACTCCATGTCTCTCTGGCCTGTGTCCTTCATGATCAAAAGAAGGGTGACACTGAAGTATTGCCAAGATCCTCTTTCACACCAACCAACATGCTGTGACTCTAAATTTCTTTGCCATTAAAATGAGCCCATCTCTCAGGCCATAGGATGAGGAATTTCATCCAGACAGGCAGACCCCTGCTGGTCCCTCTCTTTTCTCCTCCCCTTTTGCCCCAAGGCCTCTTGGGAAAGCCACACCCACATCAGCCTTGGTGGGATTGGCTAAAACCAAAACAGATAGTCATTTTAGAGAAGACACCACCCCACATTGGCAGCCACAGCTGTTGCCCAAAGGGGCCTCTGGCTCTTAGGCCAACTCTGCGGGGAGGACAGAGCAGCTGCCTGTGTGTGCATTTCTAATCCAAGCTGGAGACGCACCCAGTTTTTCTACAAGTGGAGTCCAAGGTCAGCTTCTTCAGAACATGGGGAGATAATGGAAAATGCAAATTTTTCAATCCCTTCCAGATCAGAGACCGGGGTGGAGCCTGGGGCCCTGCATTCCCCAGAGATTCTGAGGACAAAACAACTCTCCCCAGCATCAGGACAATGACAGACTCACATTGTCCAGCATTTTGGAGGCCATACTTCACATTTTTCTACAGCCAGTTTGAGGCAGCATTTGGTTGTTTGCCATGTACCAATCAGCAGTTTATCTGATTAACAAGCTCCCTTGACTCCCAGGCTGGGAAACAGCCTGACAGACTTTAATTGACTAAAAACCTGTTCCTGTCAGAACCAGATACCTCTTTTTTTTTTTTAATAACACCTCTCTCTTCAAAGCCAAATTGAAATAATCAAAATAGTGATACTACATTTGATGGACTGAGCCTCTGTGATACTCAAGGCATTGGGGCCTTATTAATATTCTTTCATTCTTCTTTTCTTTTTGTTGGAGGGGGTGTGCTGGGGATTGAACTCAGGACCTTTTGCTTGCTAGGTAAGCACTCTACTACTTGAGCCACACCCCAGTCCTTTTGCTTTTTAGTTTGTTTTTCAGATAAGGTCCATGCTTTTTGGCCAACCTCAGGCCATAATCCTTCTACCTCTGCCTCCTGAGTAGCTGGGATTACAGAAGTAATTCCATGTTATACAACCATGTCCAGTCCTAATTTTCAAGACCTATTTTAGGTATATTCTTCAGTGGTCCCACATTAGAAGAGGAAATTGCCTCAACAGTTAAACCACTAGCCTAGGACACTACAGAGGGGAAGCAGGACTGGATCTGGGAACCTGTGGCTTCAGTTCTGTCACAGGACAAAGGGCCCATGTCTGGGTTAGATCCAAGGCTTCTCTGTGGCCAAGACACACAATTCTAAACACAATTCAGAATTCTGAACTCCTTTGCTCCAGAGTGGTTTTTTTCTCCCTAAAGATTACTAGTCTGATGGGAGCACATTCTGGGGGCAGGAATGGAGCATGTCATTGATGACACGAGTTAAAGGCACAGCCGTGGGACAGGTGGACAGGTTCCGCTGGGGGAGGACACTTCATGCTGAAGCCACAAAGTGCTGTCCCCTGCCCCACCATGCAGTCACCTGTTCCCAATGGCCTTTGAAGCCTGTGGATACTGAAATACTGCAGCATTTCCCAAAGGTCAGCAGCCTTGGGCAACCTGTCAAATCCGGAGAGTTGGTTTCACTATCCTCCCATCCCAAAGTCACTAAACCCTAACGAAGATGACAAGTGCTTAACAAGATGCTCTTTTTCCCTCCCTCTCTTCCCCAATCCTTGGGACCTGGCCTTTTAAACAGGGCAGTGGTTGTCCCAAGTGACCCTCTGATGGTGACATTTTCAGTCTGAGACAGCTGTCCAGGGACCCCAGCTTCCCTCCTCAGCCCTCAATGGGGGGTAGCAGAGGCTGCAGTGAGAGAGGCAGCTGGTGGGAAATTCCCAAGGCCCTTGGAGTCCCAGCTCTGCTAGTGCTGGCTTGGTCACCTGGTGTGCTCCGTTTTCTTCAGAGCACACAGACATCCTACAAAGGAGGGATCTCTGTTCCCACTGAGGTTCAGGGTCAGTTGGATGCTTTGCCAAAGCCACACAGCCGAGACATGGCAAAGTAATAACTCAGGTAGCTTCTTGGTGCCAGAGTCGGAGCTATGGACTCTAGCAAGGCATGGCATCCTCCACCTGCCTGGCTTCCCTAGCTTGGCAGGTGGACTTGTGGGGGCCTTGCCCATGTCCAGGCTGTGTTGCAGCTCAGATGAAATAATGACCAGGATGAACTTCAAGGAAAACAGCCTGTCAAGGGCAGACCCATTTAAGACACTGGCGCCTGACTTCACATAGCGCCAGAGGGTCTGTGAGGTGTCACCTCCCCAGGAGCTGAGAGCTGGGTAGCTTCAGCCATCCCAATACATTTTGGGAATTCTCAAGATGGAAGAAAAGTCAGTTCCTGAAATAGCCGGGAAAACACGACCAAACAGCATTCACAGGCTGTTATTTGCAGTGTTGCACAATTCAGATGAGGGGCCCCCAGAGGTGGAGTTGGCTTCTGCAGCTTCCACAGGCCAGGGGGCAGGACTAGGACACTCAGCTGTGTCACGTGGGCACATCATCATGTTGTGACCTCAGGGGGTGTGTGGCTGGAGAAGCAAGCTTGGCGTGATGTGGGTGGCCTGATGACATGGGAGTTTCTGCTTAACAAATACACACTGAACCCAACTCAGGGGCAAGAGTGGGGGCAGGACCAACCTGGCCTGCATGTGTGCAAACACACATTTGGGGGGAGACAGACAAACAACACCCAAAGATGCTCTTTAGATAACTAAAGGGCTACGAAGACAATAAAACAAGGGACTAGGATGAAATGTGGGTCACCTCCTTTAGAAGGGGTGATTAGAGGAGTTGCATTTGAGCACAGACCTGAGTCACTGAAAGGAGCCAGCAGGTGAAGAGCTGGGGGTGCTGCCTACCAGGTAGAGAGATATCAAATGCAAAGGCCCTGAGGCAGGAGCAAGCTTGGCATTTATTTAGGAAGAGAAAGAAAGCCACGTTGGCTGTAGGCGTGAGCAAGGTTGAGGGCAGTAGGGACAGGTTGTGATGGTTGGTGGACTAAGATCACAGGGGATGCAGACCAAGCCTTTGGAGATGTTTCATGCTAAGGTACAATTGAGTAATGCTCTGAAGGAGAGCAGGAGGTCTTTTCAAGGGTGGTGAGAAGGGTTCTGAAGGGGGCACTAAACAGATGTGTTGTTCGGAAACAAACCCCAGGCTGGACTGAGTGGGGAGGGCCCTGGATAACCCTGCTTTGGCTTCTTCCTGCCTTACAGCACCTTGCCCATTGGGAGGAAGGGAAAGTGTCCCAGCTCACTTTACATGGCCTGGCTGGAGACCCTGTCCCAGGATCTCAGACCTCCCGTCATCCTGATCCGTGGAAACCAGGAGAGCGTGCTCACCTTTTACTGCCAGTAACTCCAGGCTTGGGGATCCCTGCCTGAAGCCAAGTGTGTATAGGGGACAAGTCAGAACTCAGCTCCAGTCCTGGAGAGGAGCCTCACCTGTCGCATGTTGAGTCCACCATGATGGTCTCAATGGACCCCACCTCCCTTGGACACGGCTCCTGGGCCTCATTTTTATGGATTGGAGAAATTGTAGATGGAGCTTCATGGAAAATTCTGTGAAAGATCCTATCTCTTAAAAATGTTTTCCTTTTGATCTTGATGACCATTAATTAAGATTTCAGTGTTGATTTGTGTGCTAATTAAGTCTGAGTGCTGGCTCTGCCTCTTGGCAGTTTCTGCAGACCTTCCCTGGTTAACAGTCCCCAAACTCTGCCTCCTTCCTCCACCAGCCCGGAGAGCAGGGAGACCACCAGTAGGACCTGCCCAAGTTCCCAGGAAGGCGCCACAGGGCCCTTTGAGGCTGCACAATAATGTAAAATTCTTCTTCTTATTCTTATTCTTATTTACATAATAATGTAAAATTCTGCCACTGCTCACTCCTGTCACTTTCAATATTGGCTCTTCAGTGTCTTCATTGCCTCTAAGACCCTGGATTTTAAAACTTCTTTGGTTTGAAAACAGTAAGAAATACAGTTGTACATAAGGAGACCCTGGACATGCACAAAACAATACTCATGATGGGTGACACATGCCAATACAATATTTTCTGTTCTCCATTTCTTTTTTCTCCCTTTCTTTCTCTTTCTTTTCTTTTCTTTCTTGTTTTGGTGGTACTGCGGTTAAACTCAGAGTCTTGTGCTTTGCAGGTGCTCTACAAGTTAAGCCATACCCCCCAGCCCTATTTTGCTTTAGTTATTTTGGGGATTAAGGTCTTAAGTATATGTCCAGGCTGGCCTGCACTGAGGTCCTCCTATTTTGCACTTCCTGTGTAGCTGAGATGACAGGTGTGCACACCACACCCAGCTACTGGTTGAGATGGAGACTCATGAACTTTTTTGCCTCCCGAGTAACTAAGATTACAGACATGAGCCACTGTTCCCAGGCCTATTTCTTTTTAATGTTGGTTGCAATCCACTAAAATGATTTTTGGATTCACTAGTGGGTGGTGATGCACGATTTGAAAAACATTCCGGGCTGGTACCAGTGCTGGTATAGCTGTACCAGCTATAATCCTAGCTACTTGCAAAGCTGAAATCTGAAGGACTGTGGTTTGAGGCCAGCCCGGGCAAATAGTTCTCGAGATCCTCATCTCCAAATTAACCAGAGCAAAATGGACTAGAGGCATGGCTTAAGCTGTAGAGCACCTGCTTTGCAAGCATGAAGTCCTGAGTTCAAACCTCAGTCCTACAAAAAGAAGAAAGAAAAGGAGGGAGGGAGGGAGAAAGGAAAGGAAAAGGAGAAAAGAGAAAGGAAAGAAAGAAAAACAGATTGACTTTCCTCTGTGCCTTGTGTGTGTTTCCACACAGGGTGCTCCATGGACTGGGGACAGGCCACTGCTGGGCATTTTCCAGCCCACCCCGCAGGGAAAAAAGGTAACAGAGCATGTGAGGAAGGGATGGATGGAGGGTGGGAGTGTTAAGAGAGCAACAAGAAGAGGCAAGAATGAAGGAGTCTAGTAGAAGGGCACTCACTACAGGTGTGGTTAAGGATGGAGGACAAGATATTGGGAGAGGGGAAAAGGGGAATATGGCAAGATTGGCAAAGGATCAGAAAGGAAGGAGCAGCTCCAACCCAGCCCAGGGCCAGATGGAAGGAACCACCAGTAAGAGGCAGAAGTGGGTTAGGCGGCAGGTAGGCCACGTGGGTGAATGTGAGGTGGGGACAGAGGTGGGAGACCAGTTGAGGAAGATGGAGGTGGAGAAAGGAGCCTGACAGGACCTGGCTCAGGAGACTGTGCTTGGGTTGCTCCATACTGAAACCCCCAGAATGGTGGTACCCACAAAGCTAGGGGGCAAGAGTGGAATGTGCATGCAGAAACAGCAACCACCAGCAGGCCAGGAGAAACGAAAGGCGTCTGGGGCTCTAGGCAGAGCTATAAGGCAGAAAGATGGAGCTGTGCCTTGTTCTAATGCCCCTGAGCTGGCCAAAGGATGGGCCATCGGTTTTGCTGGCTTCCTCCAAGATCACTTGGTCATGAAGACTGCCAGCTTTTAGGTTCGAACCCCAAAAATTTTAGTGTTTCTCAGGTCCTCCTACTGGGAAGTCAAAAGACTCTGGGAGCCCAGCACCATATAGGGCTCTCTGAACAAGACAAACAGCTGGCCAAGTTTGTCAGGGGTGCTGCTCTGTGGCCCAGGGACCTTGGAGATGGGCTTCCTCTGGGCCATGACTTGAGCTCCAGGGAAGATGCAGTCTCCACCAGGGAATGCTTGCCTTTTTGGAGTCACCTGAAAGAAGAGTTCCTGGCAAATTTTCAGAAATCCTTGTTCCAAGAGCAGAGAATGTTTTGGCTTTGGGCATTAAAAAAAAAAAAAAAAAACTTTTTTCCCCTCTATGTTGGAAATAGTAATTTTTGACAATAATAATAGTTCTATAAAAAACTGTTTTTTGAGACAGTGTCTAGCTACGTAGCCCCAGCTGGCTTCAAACTCATAGTCCTCCTGCCTCAGTCTCCAGAGTGCTGGAATTGCAGGTCTGGCCAGAAAAAAAAAAAAAAAAAAAACACAGTTTGAATTAACAGTGAGGCCCCAAATCATGAAATGGATAAAAACATGTTCACTCAGTCAACAGAACCTATTTGTTTGGGAACACAGTGTTTTCAAATCTGCTGAGTGTTTAGAAAAAGTCATTGTTTTTTCAACCCTTAATTGAACTTTTCTCCTGGTTCTACAGGCCATATCACCAGATTTCTACATGAATATTTACAGTAGATGTTTATTTTCACTCAATTGTCTTACACGCATTTATAGATTTGTGGGAGCCGGCTGTCCTCAGCCTTTGGGAAATTCTCCCTGCATTTTGGATCACAAGATCTCAAAATGAGAGGTGGATGCTGTGTGGAAAGAGCTCTGGTGTGGCCACCAGGAGACTTGGTTTTGAGTTTCTGTCTCTCTCTAAAATTGGCTGTGTGACCTAGAGGTACCCCTTAACCTCTTGGCCTCAGTGTGTGAAATCAGAGAATTGGACCAGAACAGGTGTCATCAGACAGCTGACCTGCCAATCAGTGACTGCTTTGGCCCGTACATGGCTGATCAATTTTGTGGTGGCAGCCAGGGATGGGAGAGTGGGGAAGGGATCACATTCTTTACTCACCTCCCTGAGCCTCCCAGCCCACTCATCCTGCTGCCCTGCTGGGGGAGCTCTGGATGGGAATCTCCAAGGCACGCCAGGGTATCATGTGACCTGTTGGTCAGAGGAGGAGAACAGATTCTGGTCTATGCTGTCTTTGGGTGACAAAACACTTCACATTATTGTATTAGTGGTAAGAAGTCTTATCCCTTATGTCCTGCCTTTTGCTGTGCATGGAAAACCTGACCCACAGACAGGTAGTTCATGAGGCCCAGGCCAGCCCCAGCCACTACCACCCCAGCTGCAGAAGCAAGGACTTTCATGTATCTCCCCGGAAGTCACTGCCCAGTCAGTTAGCTCCCAATTTTCCCCTTGGCATTTCAGCCTCCAGAGTGAGCATCTTCCTTCAGCTCCTGGCTAGACTTGTTTCAGCTTTGAAATAGGTACATTTTCCACCCAGTAAGCTTTCTGTTTCCCGGAGAAGGCAGCTGTGGGCCTCATCAGTACACAGAGAGTCCCAGTTTAGATTGAATTCACTTTAGACATCTGCCTGGCCTCTTCAGTGTGGTCATGGGGAGGTGGCTTTCACAGGACTGAGACCAGCTGGAATGTTCCAGAAGCACCACCTGGCCAGGAGGCCCCCAAACACATGCAAAGCAGCCAGGTTTCACTTGTGATTGTGCACAGCTCAAGTTGTCAGAAAAGAAAATGCTACCAGCTTTAAGAATGTTCACAGAAACGGGGGTCCAGGAAAGCCAGGCCACTGGTGTTCCCCACTTGTAGAGAGGTTTAATCCTGACTGAAGGCATAATTACCCACTTCCTGAAAGGGAGCCACAACAAATTCCCTTTCTAAAAAAACTTAAGAAGAGCCACCTGTCTGGGAGGCCAGAGAGAAGAATGGTTTACAGATGAAAGATGGTGGCAAAAAAGGATGCGTGTTTTTTATTATAGCTCATAAAAAAGTTACAAATAAAATGCTCCCAGGTGGTAAAAGAGGGAGCAAACCCACCAAGTGTCTATGGAGAATTTAGTATTGAAAAGGGGTTTGAAAGATGGTTGGGATTCAACAGAAAGATAGTCCTGGGAGCTGGGGTTGGGAGGAGGTGATCCAGGTGGCAAGAATAGCTTTCAAGGAGGATAAGGGTTGGCACATGGAAAATAAGAGTGAGAAAGTCAGAATGGAAAGACCCAGCTACCAGGCTGGAGAGCTCACAGGCAATCCAGAGCTGCTAACTACTGCAGGAAAGCCAAGCCTTAGGTAGCTTGGTTATAGGAGATGGGCCAGGTGGGAAGAGAAAAGGCAGGCACCCTCTGGGAGGAGGCTGTGCAGAATCCTACTGGCAATTCAACCAGGCTCAACACTGAGAGAGGCAGATGGACGTGTGAGGTCCTGAGTTCAATCCCCAGCATCCCCACCCCCAAAGAAAAGGCAGAACAGAGAAGAGGGAAGGTACAGAGGATAGTAGAAAGAAATAGTTCTTCACAGAACTGGGAATCAACGACTGTTACGGATGGATGAGTGGAGTCAGGGTCCCAGAAGTTGAGCCTGGGCAGTTTTAAGATTGAAGAAAGCATGTAATATGGGCGGGGGGTGAGGGACAAAGGCTTAATGCCACAGGGAAAGAGAATAAATGAGTTTGACTTTGGCACTTTACTCGTGAGCACATCCGGGCAGTCAGAATTGTGGTCCTAGAACTCAAGAACTTTGGCTGTTAGCCTGAAGCTCTTGAGAGCTGTGACCATCAGCAGATAAGACAGTCACAGCGAGGTCAAGGATATT